GATGTGAAACCAGGATGAAGGACAAAAAGGTTGTAGCAGGAATGAGCCAGCATCCTCAGAGACATTCTCTTACAGTCATGATCGTAGATGCTGCTGTCATTCTGTTCCTTTAGGTACAGAAGAGTTAATATTTAGGTTAAGATTTTAACAGGCTGGGGTAGGTGGGAAAAAGTGGACTGTGTCTTGACCCAGTACAGATGGAGATGTTTCCCTATTAGTAATTGAGAGCTGGATTGCGTTGATGAGTGTGGATGGCACACAGTGGTGTGGCCACGTAGCCACCCATTGATTGATTGATCTTGGATTGCTCTTGGCTGGCTAGAGACACAATGAGTGCTCTCTCTCTCTTTCTCTCTCTCTCTTTCTCTCTCTGCTTCAGCAGCTTGAATGTTAATAGACCTTTGGAAAAGTTGCTCTTTCTCCTCAAGATTTTGGCCTCAGATTGCCCATCAAGATGGCAATCTTGGACCTTTGACTCTGGCTTTTCGGTTGTGTTATGTGAAAAGGTTTTGTGAAGTAGCGTTGTGTGCTGCAGTTCTTTAAAATGTCCATATTTTCAATCCTTCAGCTAGGTGTGGCGGTGTGCCGATAGATAATCTTAGCTACCGCAGGGGCTGTGGTGGACTGGACTGGGCTACATAACAAGATCCTGCCTCAAAATCAAATAAGATAAAAGAAAGGGAGGGAGGGAGGGAGGGAGGGAAAAAGAAGAAAGAGAGACAGATATCCCTTTGACTGGAGTCTTGTGACCTGCTTATACTCTGTACACACTTTCTTGACTCCTGTCCACACCCAGGAAGATAGCTTAGATATCTTAGTCTTGTGCTTTGAACAATGAAGGAATGAGTCAGAGAAAGTTTACACTAATGTTTTTTTGGGAAGAGGGGGCTCATGCAACCTTTTTATAGAGTCTGAAGTGGTATTAACTATCAGTTTTGCTCCTTTGAGAAATTTGTAACCAGGGGAGTGTTGCATCAGGCTGACATAATTGAGGATGAAGGCTTCCTTTAGAACACAGCCCCCAAGAGGCTGTTCAGAACAGAATGTAAAGATGCTGAAATGATTGTGGAACTCTTTGTTGCCAAGTCTCAGGGCTGTCCTCTCCAGTTTGTGTATAGTCTGCTTTGTAGGTGATGGTGTTCTTCAGAAGCTCCTCCCCCTCCTTTTTTGTTCTCTGTGTCCTGTTGGCACCCTTGGTTAAGAATAGCTCAGATCCTATTAAACTAAACTGTGTGTGCCTGCCCAGACTAAAGGTCAGCTCTGTGTGACTAAGGAAATAGTCTGCTTCTTATCTAGTGATGAGATGAGCAATTGTATTGATTTGAGACTTGGGAGATAGTAGGTAAACATGGGCCTGGGGATAGGAAGAGGTATCTTAGATAAGAAAAGCAGGGATCAAAGGATTGTTATTTGTTGTTGATCAGCTCTGACTGTGAAGCATCTAAGGTATTTGGGATGTAAATTGAGAGATTAGCTGAGAAACATTGACTTGATCTCAGCCAGTTACTGTGAACTTCGAGCAAGTCAGCCATGTTCCTCTTCTGTAGGGACTTAGACTTTTTGAGACAATATAGGCAATTACTTAAAAACCATGTTGAGGTGAAGGCTTTGCTCATGCTTTCTCGTTTAAAATCCCCTTTCCAGTGGGAAGCACACATAGTGGGAAACACAGAAGAAACGACGGCAAACCCACTTTAGGTACATATCTGTACCTAATGTGTGATATGTCACATTGCCCTGGGATAGAAGCTTTAGAAAGCGAAAACACCAATTGTGTGTCTGTAGTATAGATCCCCGTGTAAATCCCACAGCAGACACAAGGCCGACAGTGTAAGAGAACACTAAATTCTTTCAAAGAAATCCCAATAGTCAATTTAAAAAAAAAAGGCAGAAATGAAATATATGCACAATTCAGAATACTGATGACCATTGGGAGGCTGCCCTGTGGAAAGATGGCTTCTACTGCTGCCATTGTGTCTTGTCAGCTAGGGCTAACACAGCACAGTAGACTGCAGAGGAAGGCGAAGGCATTCGCTCTGAGTGTTGTGTTCACTGAGAACGTGACACCAGAGTCCTATGAGGTCAGTTGCTTGGTGAGGGCCATTGTTTTGGAGATTATGTTTTCATCTCTCATTTGTCTGTTTCTAGCATGGTGTTTTGACCTTCAAGACCTAGTCTAGCCAGGCACCTGTCAAAAAACTTTGTGGACAAATACCATCACACTGGGGATTAGGGTTTCAACAGAGAATTTTGGGAGAGATGTACAAATTTAATTCATAGCAGACTATAAGATTGGAAATATCTACCCCCTTCTGTTCCCTCCCCTGCCCATTCTCCTTTCTGATTGCTGGGCATGTTAGGCAAGTGTTCTGCCACTGAGTTACATTACTAGCTTCTCAGAAAAATGTGAATTTAAAAAATGGTTGGCAGGTTCTACAGCTAAGCTTCACAACCTACACAGTGTGTAAATGTATGTATGTATTCTTTTGCATTTATCCAATGTTTAATTTTTTTTTAAGTCCTGATATTTTGGTGGTTAAGCATTTCCAACCTGAATTTTTTCAAAGCTCTTGTGTATGTTAAATTGCAGGAGAAAATATTGAAGTTGCCAGCTTAGCCAAACTATCATCTCCTATCTTTCCATTTTATACAGCCATTCACTTTTTAAATTTTTTCCTCCAGACAGGGTTTCTCTGTGTAGCCTTGGCTGTCCTGGACTTACTTTGTAGACCAGGCTGGCCTTGAACTCATGGAGATAGCCATTCACATTTATTTTTGCATTTTTTTAAAAAAAAAATCAGTTTATTTACTGTACATCTCAAGGGTACCTTCTTTCTCCTCTCCTCCCAGTCTCCCCCCTTCCATCCTCCCCCCTTCCCCTTTTCCTTTTACTCCAGAGAGGGGAGCCCTCCTCCCTCCATATCAACCTTCCCCAGCACATCAAGTCACATCAGGACTGAGCATATCTTCATGTCCCAATGCCAGGCAACGCAGCCAGCCCTGCAAGGGGGAAGTGATCCAAAAGCAGTCAATAGAGTCCATGTTAGAAACAGCGCCCCCCTCCACTTGCCAGCTACCCCATATGAAGACCAAGCCGCCCATTGGTTACATGTGTGCAGGAGAGCCTAGGTCCAGACCATGCATGCTCCTTAGTTGATGTCTCAGTCTCTGCAAACCCCCATTGGACTGGGTTAGTTGTCTCTGTTTGGCCTTCTTGTGAGGTTCCTATCCCCTCCAAGTCCTTTCATCTTTCCCCCAACACTTCCACAGGACCCCTGGAGCTCTGCCCCATGTTTGGCTGCAAGTCCCAGCATCTGTCTCCATCCATTCCTGACTGGAGCCTCCCAGAAGACAGTCAAGTTAGGCTCCTATCTGCAAGCATAGCAGGACATCATTATTAGTGCCAGGGGCTGGCTGTTTACCATGGGGTTGGTCTCAGGTTTGGCTAGTTACTGGTTGGACGTTCCCTCAATCTTTGTTCCCTCGTTATCCCTGCACTTCTTGTAGGCAAGGTAATTTTTGGATCAAAGGTTTTGTCAGTGGGTTGTTGCCCCCCTCCTTACACTAGTCCTGTCTACCCAGGAGGTGGTCACTTCAGTCTTCATGACCCCTTCCACCCCCTTGTTAGGAGTCTCAGCTACAATCACACCATAACCTCCCAGGAGCCTATCCTGTCGCGGGACTCCAGCTTGATGAAGAAATGTCCTCTCTGTTTCCCTTCTTGTTCCCAGCCCTCTCACCTCCCACCTCCATTCTCCCCACATCTGATTCCCCCCCACCCTTGTTTCCCACCCTGCCATTCACTTTTTTATTGTAACTTTTTTGAAGCAGTTACAGTCTAGGAAGGAAAGATTTTAATAAAAAAAAAAACAACTAAATGGGAAATAGAGACAGACAGACAGACTAACTAACAAAAGGAGAGCTGTGCCTCCTGCTTTCGTCTTGGAAACACAACAGCAGCAATGTAGAAGTCTCTCACGTGGTCTGTGTCCTACATCTCTGCCTCCAAGTTTCCTTGTACTCTCCTCAGATCCTGCTTCCAGGTCAAAAGCATTCTGTCTGGGCTGGCGGGCCAGACATTTGAGTATTCATTACCTCAGTGAGTGCGCGTGTATCTATATTTAATGATGTTTGTGCTTCGCTTGCTTAGGACTTTTGAAATCTCTGCAGTTTTAGAATTAAGGGTCACCAAGTCGTGAAAAGTACTATTTCCCCTTTCATCTGTGTCCCATATTATACAAAGGTTCCCTGAAAATAGCAACAGTTTTCTGGGAAAGGTCCCGACAGAGTCTGTTCTCACCCTTTACCCCAGCCCTCCACTCCGTGTTTCCTTCTTCCAATGTGGTCATGTGCTTGCCCGAGCCTGGCTCATGAACCATGTAGGATATTCATCTCGGAGTTTTGTTTTTTAAGCCATACACTGTGCACATGATGCAGTATTTAATTTGGAACGAGCTCCGAGTTTAGTCACACATGCTTCTTGTGCTGTTTATCTTGGAGTCCACAAGTAGGAGGAAAGTGTTTTTGCGTTTTATACATCTGAACACTGTTCATGGTCTTTCTGTGACTTGGGAATTGCGTGGAGGGCAAAATCCAAGGAACAGCATTAAAATAACATAGAGTTCTAATGAGATGTGAGTGCGGCCCCTTGAGAGTTCCCTTCTGGTCCCCGCAGAGTTTGACTTTGGAGGTGGTAAACGTTTTCAGCTGTGTGGTTCACTGGTGGCCTGAGTAGATTGGTGGATTATAGGTTACCTGACATTCTCCCATGCAGTCCATGTGCTGCTAGACATGAAGGCTGAAAGTCTTTGGCAAATTTGGCTCTTTAAGGAGAAGATTTTGACTTGACTTTGTATAGGGAAAGATAGGCAAAGAGAATTCTGCTCACTGCTGCTCTGTTTGCTGTTTGAATGCATCCTATGAGATTTTTTTTTTTTTTAGGAGCCTCTCCATTGCTCTTTCCTCAGTTCATGCCTCCTAAGAACTAAAGCGATCTGTAGACCGTCTCAGGCTGTGCTTGAGGGTTAAGGTGATGGTGGTGATGAGGGTGTCGGTGTCTGCTGACCTAATCCTTTTTATGATCTCATGCAAGAAGTCGTTCTTTAGCCCAGGGTAAAGTGGTGTTGTACAGCACCACTTTCTTTTGGGTGGGGGTGTGCTAGGATGGAAAAGTTGAGAAGGGTGTTTAGAATGTTCCTGCTCTCAGTGAAATTGCTTATGGCAGTGTTGCTTTTTGGTCCTCAGTCTGGATTTCTTTAATTTCCATGTCTCATCTGTAATGCAATTGCAGAAGCAAGCTGGGAAGGCAGAATAAAGTTTCAAATGAACTTGCACTTGAACAAAAGAGGGTGATTGTTGTTTTTCTATGTTGTTCAAAGCACAGACATTTGAGTAGTGAGCTGTTTGGATTTTTACTTACATATAAGGGCTATTTGCTTTTTCTTCTTTCAATGCAATAAAGTGAGGAAAATCTAATGAAGTAATTAAACCTACTGGCTATTATTCATCCAGAATTTTCAAGTGTGTTTAATAGTGGTCTCTCATACAAGTATAAAGATACATAACTAGAAAGGAAAGGTCAAGATGGTCTTGACGATTGAGAACCAGAGAGTCTGAGGTGGTTTGAGTGACTGGGCAAATTGCTCATTTGGGAGCTGTTTCTTTCTGCTGCTTTTTGGGCCTTTCCTTTGGGATCACCCTCCTCCCCCTTAACTTTTGTAATGTCTTTTGCAACTTTCAGTTAAAAAATAGCCATCAAAATTTAAATGTTAGCAAATAAACACATTTTAGTTCTCTGATGGTAGTCACTCAGCACCAGAGAGTGGCCTGGCTTCATTTGAAGAGAGATGTTCATAGTAGGAACTGAAAGAGTTGACACCAGGATCGTGCTTGTTTGGAGTGTTAATGAGTCCAGGAGGAAATGGTGAAATCTGCTGATGACACCAGACTGTTTTGCTTGATCCTACCAGGGGTTTCTGGGAAGCTGCTTTGTAGTGTTGGAAATAGTGGAAGGGTTGGGCAATATGGGGCAGACTTGCCGAACTTGAAAGGACGGTTTATGTGAAGTAGCAGGAGGACCAGGGAGGCTGCAGTCCCCCTGAGGGAACTGGAGTCTCCAGAGTGTGAAGAGTAGGACAAAGAACGCTCTGATGGAAACCGAAAGCCGTTTGGTGGTACTTAGAAGCTAGAGTGATGTAAAAGTATGGCATGTGAATATCCTTTTGGAGGAGAGGAGTGAGTGTTATTTCCCCTCAGAACAACTGTGGGATATTGGGATATTATATACTCACTTTAGTGTGCTTGGTTTTTTTTTTTTTTTTTTTTGATGGGCAGGCCTAGCCCTTCATATATATCCTTTTAATTAGTTTCTGTGGTTTCTAAATTATTTTTGGTTTTCAAATAGTCAGCTGTCATTTAGAATCTGAGTAAGATCAAACTTAATAATAGACTTAAAATGTAGGTGAAATTTGAAGTGATAAAGGGAATTGTTTGCTTCCAGGGCCGTTTTTTGAAGGAACCCACCATGAGATATCACAAGGATATTTATGCAACAGTAGTAGGATAATTTCTTAATTAATGCAGTTCACAAATGTGACTCATTTAAATATGTACACTACAGAGGCATGTTAGCAGACCCACTCCATTATATTATAGGCTCTTCGTGGGATTGAAACTAGCACATTGTGTGTGTCAAGAACCCCTTACCACTGAGCCCCAGCCTCAGCTCCACACGTCATATGTCTTCCACCATCTCCCTCTCTGTCTTCAAGCACTAGTTCTAGAAGAAGCAGGATGTGCACAGTAGAGATTCCCTTAGCATGTTGGTGTTTTCTGGCTATAGTCTGTGCCTGGAGACTTAAAAAGGGTCTTGGGATTTGAAAAGGTAAGCTAGGCCCCGTCACAGGCACTGTGGGCTGGCAGGTTGTAGGTCTCCATACATTACGGAAGGATTTGTATGGAAGTAAACTTCTGTGAACCACACAAACAGGAGTCATCTGCACCAATGGCTGAGGAAGGAGTCGATGGTTTCAGGCTTTGTCTGCGGAGACTTTGTTTTAGTTAAGCAGGGAGAAGGAGCTGACTCCTCAGGCCTTCTTGTCTCCCATGCTTGGAATCCCTGGAGTAATTTAGGAAACCACTGCAGAGAATAAGATATCTAGAGGTCCAGGGAAGTACTTGTATACAAAACAGGGAGACTTCATTTCTGCCATACTCTTCTGAGATTATTGCAAAAAGAATTAAAAATTTGCATTTAGCAATTTCATACTTTCCTATTTCAAAAGTCATTGTATAGACACAAGTTTTCTATATATTTTAAATTTGTGACAGCCTTGTATTTTCACAAGGTCTCTCTGTTTTAAAACTTCAAAGGAGAAAACCAGGAGACCTTCTACCCAAAAGCAGAGGACTTCCTTTGTGAGGAATGTTATACTGAATAGCCCAAGGGACCCCTGCCCCAATCTCCATGGTTCTAAATGTAAGGCCTCAGACTGGCGGCATCAGATTCATTGGAGGCTCTTGTTAAAAACAAAGACTTCATATTCTGGAGCTGGTGGTGTATCTCCATGGTAGAGCTCTTGCCTAGCATGCATAAGGTCAGCGTTTGAGCTCAGTATTGCAAAAACTGAAGCAGAGATGAACATGACTTCCATTCCTATTTTGACACACTGAATTAGAACCTCCTGAGTAGGGCTTAGGTAGGTATTTTCGTACACTTTCAGCATAAGGCAATACTTTCTAAAAATAGATGTACACTACACCCCGACTCCTAACCAAGGAAATCAGAAAGATGGAATGGTGCTAGAATGTTGAAGTAAGCAGCATGTTGTAGAGTTTGTTCTCTGAACTTCTAGTGACCAGAGTTTGATTAGTAATGATTTTGAATCCACTGATAGTAACAAAAAAATATTGTTATTGTGGTTGAAAAATTTGCTCTGAAGCCAGAGTGTCTGGTCACTTACTGACTGTGACTTGAGCAAAATATTAAATCATTCCTCAGTAGCTCATTTACTTTTTCTGTAAAATAGAGATTTTGGATTTGATTCCTCTACACTGCAAAGGCAAATCATCAACAACAAAAATCATGTTACTGTCTTCCACCTAGCATACAAAGGAACTATCTGGTCTCTAATTCACTGCTTTCTTCCATGATTATCCCTATTTAATGAGGACCTGAAACGGAAAGCCTAAGACTGTTATATAAAGTGTATGTTGGGGAAGATGGGCCTCTTTTTTTTTTTTTTTTTTTTTTTTTTTTTTTTTTTTTTTTTGAGTAAGGCTTTCAGGTGACATTCTCAATACACTGTTTTCATTTCTACAGTGCGCACTTTCTGGTCAAAAAAGCTGTAATTGAGCAGACACAGTAGATGGCGCTTTAGACTTATTTTTAAGAGAAACTAGTAAAAGGGTAAGGGAGGGGAAGGAGGAGGGAATGAAGCGTATTTTACTAAGCCCCTCCCAAGACTTCATCTCCTTGTACTTGCCTCTAAGAAGTAACTTTTTCTTTTGATAGAGCTAGAGAATAACTTCAGCAAAAATTAATCTTCAGTTGCTGTATTTGTCTGAATTTTGTCACTTGGAAATTATCACTCGTGCTTAAGCCATAAAAATATAAAGGCATTATTTTCTTTCAAAACACTCTCTTATTTATGAGGATTTCTCCCTAATTGTCTTTGTATTATAATATTTCCATCTCTTAGGGCTTGCTGGCCTTTTTTGTTATCTAATAAAAAATGGGATTATGAAGTTAATTTGAATAACGTCAATCATAGTGTAGTCATACTTTAAAATTAAAGTTTTCACATTAAATGCTAATTCAGACAGAGTATGTGTCACAGTAAGGATGATTTAGTTTTAAATTCTATTTTATTTTACTATGAGAATGGCTGTTTTGCCTGCTTGTATGTCTGCATTCTGTGCATGCTTGGCGTCTGTGGCAACCAGAGGAGGGTGCCAGATCCCCTGGAACTAGAGTTACAAAGAGCTGTGAGCTGCCATGGTGGGACTGGGAGGCAAATCCTGGGCCCCCTAGAAGAGCAGCAAGTTCTCTCAAGTGCTGAGCTATCTCTCCAGTCCTAATGTATAAATATTTATAATTCTCTACTATGTTTTATGTAGTTAGTCTTGTTTAATCCTTGTAATAACTATGAGAACACTTATCCCTGTTTCTAGATAAATTGTCTCAGAGATGTTCAGTAAATTGCTCAGTTATCTTTACCGAGTGTTTGAACTGTAGCTGCTGTAGGAGTCTTCTCTGTGCATTGAAGTTACAGTTTTTGAGCACATGCCATGTGCCAAGCATGCTGTATGCTAGGCATACAACAGGGACCAAAACCAAAGTGGACCTTAAAATTATTAAAGGTTCAATAGAAGTTTTTGTTTTGAAACCTGGTGCCTTGAGAGTGGGTAAAAAAGACAAAGGGTCAGTAAAGTGCTTGCTATGTAGTCACAAGGACCTTAATGGAATCTCCAGAACTCACACAAAAAAGCTGGGTGTAGTGGCCTGTGACTGTACTCTCAGCTGCGGGGAGATTGAGATGGGTGGTGGTGGTGGTGGTGGGGTCCATGGGGCTTGTTGGCCAGCTAGCCTAGCCAAATTTACCAGGTCTGGGCCAAAAGAGAGACCCTGTCTCAAAAACCAAGGTGGAAGGTACCCAAGGAACATCTGAGATTGACCTATGGCCTCTACATGCTTGCATACATACATGTGTGTGTACCTACACCCCAATACACCACACACACCCACCTCCCCATGCACACACAAGAGCACATGTGCATACACACACACACACACACACACACACACACACACACACACACACACGTACGCACCCCCCCACGCATGCACACATGGAGAGACAGAGAGGGAGCGGGAAGGAGAGAGAGGAGAGGGAAAGATATGTTTTAGCCACTATTATTGAGTAGGCCAGGGAACTGCATGTTCTTCAAAGAGAAAGATATAATCATATCTACCTTGGATGTATTACCATATTAATATTTATTTGGATACACCTCTTTTATCCAAGGGTAAAGCAAGCCCTTCTATTTCAACTCTGACAGTTGAACTATGAAATAGAGGGCTGGGGAGATGGCTCAGGGAAATTGCTTATTGTGCAAGCATGAAGATCTAAGTTCTTATCCCCTGATCCCATGTAAAAGCTGGACACTGTGGTGCGGTCTTATAACTCCAGTGCTGGGAGGCAGAGAAAGGAGGATCCTGGGAGTTTGCTGGCCAGCCATTCTGGCCAAAATGGTGAGCTTCAGGTTTAGTGAGAGACCGGGCCTCAAAAGTGAGGGGATGTGACTGGGGAAAGACATCCCAAAGTCAACCTCTGGCTTCCCACAGGCCTCTGCACAGGTCAGTGCACACACACACACACACACACACACACACACACACACCACATATACCAACACGAAATAATTTAAAAATCAGGAAATCAACAGTGAGAAAAAACATAAGGTAAAACTTTCTAGATAAGAATCAGGAAGAATAAATAGAATCAAATTATACTACAATGTATAAACTTTCTGCTGATTAAATGACATTATTTAAAGCAAGGTGGTGATAGTAGAAATAAACAAGATTGATTTTTGTATTCTAAAATCATAGACATATTTAGCTTGTTTTTCAAGTGCTATTTAATGAGACTTTTTGTGTCCAGCCAGCCTAAGGAGTACCCTATATTGGCATGGACCCCTTTCTTAATTTTTGGGCATTTGACATATTTCTATTGACTATTTTTGAATAAGGTCCAGCTTATTTTCTCATTGATACCAGGATTTCGTGGTATTGAAGGAAATTTGGCTGATAAGAAATTGTGGACTAATCACTTTAAATTGGTGTCCTTTGACCATGCTTTAGGTCTCCTAAAATTATGCAAAATATTAAGTGTATTCTGGGAAGGGAATCCGTAGCCTTCAGGAAATTCTCCATGGTGTTTATGAAC